AGTTTCCTTAACAACTTACCTCCCGTCCCGCCCCCGTTCAGATCCCGCCCGGAGGTGAGGTTACGTGTGGGGGAGGGGTAGGGTAGGGCAAGGGCAGGGCAGAGCAAGGAGGAGGAGGTGAGTGTAGTGGTATGTTAACCACACGTACGGAGTGATTGTGCTCTTATACTATTGTTATTTTTTCCAAGAAGTTATCCATGTAATGTTTAGTATGAAGTTATTATTATTATCATTATCATTATTATTATTATTACCACCAATGTCATTATTATTATTATTATTATTACCACCAATGTCATTATTTTTATTATTATTATCATTATTATTATTATTAGACTTATTATTATTATTATTATCATTATTATTATTATTGTTCCCCTATCTTACGGAGTTTGGGGTCCAGTAGGTGTTACAGAGACTATTATAAAATTTTCTAGCCTATAAGGTACACGTCTCAGGTGTGTGTCGTGTTGGTGAAGGTTTTAATTATCTGGGATTATAACCAGACAGTGTTCAGCCTGGGAGGTTTTAGCCAATAGTGGTTTAAGTCGATGTTTTTGTTTTAATCAGTGAACGCAGCTGTTACCTCTAGTCCTGACCTAACCTGACCTAACTTGACCTGATCTAACCTAAGCTAGCCTATTCTAACGTGACTTGACCTAACCTATGGTTCGGTAAACAGACATATGGTTACGTAAATACACATATGGCGAGATATAAGACTTATGGCTATGTTAACAGACTTATAGCTAGGTAAACACACATATGGCTAGAAAAACAACTAGACATGTGGCTAGATAAATGGATATATGGCTTGGTAAACAGACATAAGGCTAGCGAAACTCCTGGAGACATTAGTGTGTGTGTGTGTGTGTGTGTGTGTGTGTGTGTGAGAAAGAGATAATGGAGGAGAGTCCCATGAGGCGCTGAGGAACACTGGTGCTGAATACTGCCTCCTACTGCCACGCCCACCACGCCTACTGTCACGCCCACCACGCCTACTGCCACGCCCACAACGCCTACTGCCACGCCCACCACCACCAAACCCCACAACTGCCACCACCCAGCGCCCCCTTCCCTCACCCCTCTTTCCATCACCCCGCTCTCTCTCACCCCTCTGCCCATCACCCCCCTCTCTCCTCACCCCTCATCCCATCACCTTCCCTCTCTCACCCCTGTGCCCATCACCTCCCCTCCTCACCCCTCTTCCCATCACCTTCCCTCTCTCACCCCTGTGCCATCACCTCCCCTCTCTCCCCTTTCCCCTCCCTCACCCCGCAAGCCGCCACAGCAGTAAGTTGTTAAAACAACAAACGATGATAACAGCAGCACCACAACAGCGACAGGTAGGGAAGTGCTGTAAATAGTTGAAGGGAGATAGTAATCCCCCTCCTTCTCCCCAACACTCTCCTTCTCCCCCCCTCACTCCCCATCACTCTCCCTCCTGAAAAAAACAGCAGAAACAGCAAAACAATAAGACTAAGAAACAGCAAAACAATGAGACTTAAAAACAGCAAAAACAACCAAACAATACGACATGATAACAGCAAAACAGTACGACTTAATAACAGCAAAACAATACGACATGATAACAGCAAAACAGTACGACTTAATAACAGCAAAACAATACGACATGATAACAGCAAAACAGTACGACTTAATAACAGCAAAACAATACGACATGATAACAACAAAACAGTACTACTTAAAAACAGTAAAACAATAGGAATTAAAAACAGCAAATACAGCCAAAACAATACCATCTACAAGAGTACTACCTCACCTCCCCACCTTGCCCAAAGCACATGATGGTAAGTTAAGTCAAATGGTACAACATAATCTTCCTGGAGCAGACCAACTCTCCCCAGTTACCCAGCCAATAGTATATACCTGCACAATATCCATTCTTCTTCTTCTTCTTCTTCTTCTTCTTCTTCTTCTTCTTCTTCTTCTTCTTGTGGAGTGCCAAGAACCCTCCTCTATTCACTCACTTCACTCACTTTCACTCACTTCACTCACTAACTCATTCACTCAACAATTCACTCACTCATTTTCTAACCCATCTCACTCACTGGCTCAATCACACACTCTTAACTCACTCACACCATTACCCAACCATCTCTTTCACTCACTCAACTTTCTAACCCATCTCACTCACTCTCCCTCAAATTCACTCACTCACTCACTCAACTCACTCACTCACTCACTCACTCACTCAACTCACTCACTCACTCACTCACTCAATTCACTCACTCACTCAATTCACTCACTCACTCACTTCCAGTCAGGTTTTAGGAAGGTTATTTGTTATTCATGCATTAAGCTGATCAGGGAACGGTTATCTTGAGTGGGTTTTCTTTAAGTCTTTGCTGTTGAGGATTGACGAGTTCTGGTGTACACTACTGTTGTTATGAATTGTGTGTGTGCTGCAATGTGTGTGTGTGTGTGTGTGTGTGTAAGCAATGTGTGTGTGATCAGAATTAAACAAAGCTTAACGAATATTTTTGCCTTCTCTTTATTTTTTTAAATATCAGCGTTTTTTTTTTTTATTAGAATTCATTTTTTCATTCCAAGGTAAAATTAGGCTCTGTTGACCATCGTTTGCCACCATAACATAACCGAATTGTACGCTGTTTATGTTGGGTTAGTTAGGTTGGTTGGAATTGGAAGTCAGGTTAGATGAAGGCCAGGTCAGGAGTCCAGATTAGGTTAGGTTAGAGGTTAGGCCAGGTCCCGGGTTAGATGAGGCCAGGTCCGGGTCAAGATTAGGTTAGAAAAGGTTAGAAGGCCGGGTCCGGGTTAGATGAGGCCAGGTCAGGTCAGATTAGGTTAGGTTAGGCCAGGTCAGGTTAGATGAGGCCAGGTCAGGTCAGATTAGGTTAGAAAGGTAAAGAAATACATAAACTTTATAATCATTTCCTACATATTTCCCCCCATAAAATACACACTTCCTATGCTGATGACCTCCTCACACTGACCTCCTCGACCTCTTGGTGACGGAATGTTGCAGTACGGCCTCCAACACAGTACTGTCTACTACCATCTCACGCACCTGCTCCCTCTCTTCAGCCCTTTACCTGTGTCTTGTACCACTAACACACCCTAACACACTCATACCCCATCCCCCCCTACCTTCCTCCTTTCACCCTCCTTCTCCTCTTCCTCCCCAGATCTCCCCTTTCCTTTACCACCCCTTTCTCACCTTCGGCTGCTCCTTCCTTCTCCTCACCCCACCACCCCTTCCTCCTCCCCACCACCACCCCTTCCTCCTCCCTCACCCCACCCCTTCCTCCCCTCCCCACCACCTTCCTCCTCCTCACCCCACCACCTTCCTCCTCCCCCACCTTCCTCCCTCCCTACCCCCTTCCTCCCACCCCCTTCCTCCTCCCCACCCACCCCTTCCTCCTCCTCACCCACCACCCCTTCCTCCTCCTCCACCTACCCCCTTCCTCCTCCTCACCCACCACCCCTTCCTCCTCCTTCCTCCTCCACCCACCACCTTCCTCCTCCCCACCACCACTCCTTCCTCTTCCCCACCTCACCCCTTCTCCTATACCTCCCCTCCTCCACGCAAGCCGCCTAAGACGTGGGGAAGAGGAGGTGTAAATTATGCAGGCGTTGAGGGAGCTGACACATCAACTTATTACAACGTTAAGTGCATCAACCCCGTCCCTGGCCCAGCTTAAGGTTAACTGCCTCTCTCTCTCTCTCTCTCTCTCTCTCCCTCTCTCTCTCTCTCTCATTTATTTATTCATCTCTCTCTTACTTATGTTTCTATCTCTCTTCTACTTATCTTTCTCTCTCTTATATGTCTCTCTTATTCCTTTATTCTCCGTCTGTCTCTTCTCCCGTTATATTTCATCCATGTCATTTCTTCAGTTCATAGACGACTGTAACGAGACACTGATGGATCCGTTACCCCTCGTTACTTTAGCTCCTTGCTGTCAACCCGTTACCAAGACGTTACGTTATTTCTCCTCTGCGTTACTAGTTTTAAGTTTATAGTAATGCGTTACTTTTATCCCCCTGTGCGTTACTCGTCTTCAATTTATAGTATTGCGTTACCTACATTCTTTCGATGCGTTACTAAATATTAAGATTATATTCATGCGTTACTGGTAGTCTTTCCCTCGCGTTAATAAGCAGTAGTTTATAACAATGCGTCATTTATTTTATTTAGATCTACGTTACCAATGTTACGTTGATGAAAATGCGTTACATTTAATTTCACCTGTGCGTTACCTGTTCTAACCGCCACCTCTCCCCTTACTTCACCGCCCCTTCCTCCCCCTCCCACTTTCTGATGCCCCTTCCTCCTCCCCACCTCCCCCCTTACCTCACCACCCCTTCCTACTTACAGCTCCCCTTTCCTCCTCCCCTCTCCCTTCTTCTGCCTCCCCTCCCTTTTCAAAGTGCCTTCACTCCTCCCCCACCTCTCCTTCCTCTCATCCCCTCCCTCTTTTCCTCCTCAGTAACAACCTAACCATCACGTACCATATATGTCGAGTGGAAACAGCGCTCGCCTCCTGTTCCAGTGGTCGGTGGTTCGACTCCCGGGCGCTCCCAGTTCACCCAGCTGTAAATGGGTACCTAGTGTTTACAACTTGATCATGAATAACACGTATTATATAACACATCTATATTGACTAACACATTATATAGCACATCTATCATCAATAACACATTATATAACACATCATCAATAACACAACTAACATCAATAACACATCTATCATCAATAACACATTATATAACACATCATCAATAACACAACTAACATCAATAACACATAAGGACCAATAACATCAATAACCTAACGCAGTAAATTGTCTTCTTCTCCGGCGTTCTTCCCTGTTTTATCATCTCTCTCTCTCTCTTGTTTCTCTTTCGTTACTATTAATTGTACATCAACGCTAATCCATCCTCACTTACAGGACGAAGATGAGACGAGGGGAAGAGCCGAAGAAGAGAGGAAGAAAAAGAGAGGAGAGGAAGAAGAGGGGAAGACTAAGAAGAGAGGAAGAAGAAGAGAAACGGGGAAAACCGAGATAAAAAGAAGAATGCGAACCAAAGGAACAGAAAGAGAGGAATAACGAGGAGACAAGAGAACAAGATAAACGTAAGTAGAGAGAGAGAGAGAGAGAGAGAGAGAGAGTAGCAGGGCGGGTCGAGGAAATCAGGAGCCCCGCCCACAAATCTTGGCTGCCCCTCCCCCCGCCCCGCCCCGCCCCGTGTCTTGCCCCGTCCTCAAGGAACCAGCACCACCTGCCTTGATTTCCCCAGCGCCTCCACCATCCTCTCCTCCTTCCCCTGGTGAAGCCCACAGGAAGCAGGGAAGAAGGAGGGAGGAAGGAGGTGGAGGGGAGGGGGGGAGTGACGTGGAGGAGAAGAAATAGGGAAGATTGGGGTGAAAGAGGAGGAGGAGGAAGGGAAGTGGGAGAAGGAGGAAGGGAAGTAGGAGAAGGAGGAAGGGAAGATTAAGATGGAGGAGGAGGATGAGGGAGGAAGAGGAAATGGAAGAGTCGAAGAGGAGGAGGAAGGAAGGAAGGAAGGAAGGAAGGAAGGAAGGAAGAGGTAAAAGACGATAAGAAGAATATGGAGGAGGAGGAGGAGTGAAAAGAGAGGAGGAAAAAGATAAGGAGGAGGAAGAGAAGGAGACGATGAAGGAGTGGTAAGAAAGTGAAGGAAGGAAACAGGATGAAAAACCAACAGTTAACTTCCATAGTTCACACACACACACACACACACACACACACACACACACACACACACACACACACACACACCCCATAACCACAGTGAACAACTTACCAAAGACTCACCCGTGTTTACAATCAATGACTTCACTTACACCAAAACAACATTGTGTTGATGAACTGACCACCACGAACATATTATAAGGTGTTCCAGAAAATGTCCCTGCCTCCCCCAATGCCTACCTGCTCCCTGCCTCCCTGCCTGTCTGCTCCCTGCCTCCCTGCCTGTCTGCTCCCTGCCTCCCTCTCTCCCTGCCTCCCCTGCCCCTGTCTGCTCCTGCACTCCCTCACTGCCTGCTCCTCCGAGCCTCTGGGTCTGGAGGGAGGTCAGGCTGAGCAGAGAGCTGGAGCAGGAGGGAGGCTGGGGAGCAGGCTGAGAGGAGGCTAAAATGAGTAGGGAGGGAGGAGACAGGGGAGGCAGGGACATTTTTCTGGAACACCCTATATACAGATTAAGAAGGCGGGATAATGGCGGAGGATATTTGGATAATCTGCCATGGATAATGTGTCTTGAGAGTTATAGTAAGTGAGAAAGGTGTTGTAACATTCTGCTGAGAGAGAGAGAGAAATACACACACACACACACACACACACACACATACACACACACACACACACACACACACACACACACACACACATAAGCACCAAAACCATAAAGAGAAGATTAAATCAGGGTTGCAGTGTGGAGAATAATCCGTGTCGTGGTACAGTGCTGATCCTCAACTTCATCTAACATTCACCACCAGACGAGAGGCTAAAGTTCCTCCCGTCTTAACCTATACAGTCAACCCTTTACCACCAACCAACCAAACTATTTACCAACCAAAACTACTACCGAGCAAACTACCAACCAACCAAACTGCCTACCCACCAAACTACCTACCAACCAAACTACCTACCAACCAAACTACCTACCAACCAACCAAACTACCTACCAACCAAACTACCTACCAACCAGAGCACTACCCAACCACCTTCTGTTTGTTTTGCCGCGTCAAGTTCACGTTAGGTCAATCAACTAAATTCCTAAGATTACTGTGAACTTTTTTCCTATAACGCTTACCTCGCCTCTCTTTCCTAAGTGCCGCGCGAAGTGTGTGACCCGAGGATATGAGTTCTGAAAGGGGGGTGGGGGGTGTCTTTTAGTGGTGAGTTAGCTAGTTTGTTTGTTTGTTTCAATTTGTGTTTGTTTGGGCGATATCTGAGGCATTCTTTGAGCTATAAGACGCTAGAATATCAACACAAGAGTGAACAAGTGGTTTGGTTTGTTTCTTTGCTAATTGTACATATTGTTCATGGCCTGGTGTATACATAACGAGGGGCGGTGTACACATAACAAGGGGGGGACGGTGTACACATAACAAGGGGGGGACGGTGTACACATAACAAGGGGGGACGGTGTACACATAACGTTACAATACTTGTTTCTGTTGCTACTATCACCACAACTACTATTAGTGTTACTACTATTACTACTACTATAACAACAACTACTATTATTATTATTACTATTACTACTACTATCGCCACAACAAATACTACTACTACAACTACTATCACCACAACTACTATTAGTGTTACTACTATTACTACTACTATAACAACAACTACTATTATTATTATTACTATTACTACTACTATCACCACAACAAATACTACTACTACAACTACTATCACCACAACTACTATTAGTGTTACTACTATTACTACTACTATACCAACAACTACTATTATTATTATTACTATTACTACTACTATCACCACAACAAATACTACTACTACTACTACTATCGCCACAACTATTATTTACCTATTTACCGCAATATCACTCTATCTCACTAATTTACCCTTTCACCCCCTAAACAGATATACACACTAATATAACCGAGCTAAGATACCTATAACAAACACACTTAACACACTCACATAACAAACACACTTAACACACTCACATAACAAACACACTTAACACACTCACATAACAAACACACTTAACACACTCACATAACAAACACACTTATCACTCACATAACAAACACACTTATCACACACACATAACAAACACACTTATCACACTCACATAACAAACACACTTATCACACTCACATAACAAACACACTTATCACACTCACATAACACACACACTTATCACACTCACATAACAAACACACTTATCACACTCACATAACACACACACTTATCACACTCACATAACAAACACACTTATTACACACACATAACAAACACACTTATCACACTCACATAACAAACACACTTATCACACCCACATAACACACACACTTATCACACTCACATAACAAACACACTTATCACACTCACACATTATCACACACACATAACAAACACACTTATCACACTCACATAACAAACACACTTATCACACTCACATAACAAACACACTTATCACACTCACATAACAAACACACTTATCACACTCACATAACAAACACACTTATCACACTCACATAACAAACACACTTATCACACTCACATAACAAACACACTTATCACACTCACATAACACACACACTTATCACACACACATAACAAACACACTTATCACACTCACATAACACACACACTTATCACACTCACATAACAAACACACTTATCACACTCACATAACACACACACTTATCACACCCACATACAACAAACACACTTATCACAATTCCAAGAAAATTATCACACACAACAATGGCTAATAATAACACATAACAAAACACACTTATCACACCTCACATAACACAACACACACTTATCACACCCACATAACAAAACACACTTATCACACTCCACATAATCAATAATACACTTATCACACTACATAACAAACACACTTATCACACTCACATAACACACACACTTATCACACTCACATAACAAACACACTTATCACACTCACATAACACACACACTTATCACACTCACATAACAAACACACTTATTACACACACATAACAAACACACTTATCACACTCACATAACAAACACACTTATCACACCCACATAACACACACACTTATCACACTCACATAACAAACACACTTATCACACACACATAACAAACACACTTATCACACTCACATAACAAACACACTTATCACACTCACATAACAAACACACTTATCACACTCACATAACACACTCACACTTATCACACTCACATAACAAACACACTTATCACACTCACATAACACACTCACACTTATCACACTCACATAACAAATAACAATGAAACATATCCACGTCTAACTTAATACCATACAAAAAATTAACACATCCCCTATACCACATTCCTATATCAGATGCTTCATAATATATCCTAACTAACTGGTATAGCTCCTCCTCCCCCTCCTCTCCAGTCTACAGTCATCTCCTCCAGTCATATAAACCAACAGTTAGTTTTTTTTGTTTTTTTAATATCTATAAATGGTCATACGTTATACCCCTTGTCCTTTGGGGTAGTAAGTGTGGCATTATTGAGGCAGCTGTCACGTTAATATTACAACTATGAAAAGACATACATACATACATACATACATACATACATACATACATACATACATACATACATACATACAGAGTGATAGAGGTTGGGTTGTGAATAAGAGTAATGACTAGTGACAGCTGGAATAAATAAGGAATGACACACACAGGTTGATAAAGGTGTTATAGGAATAATACTGTAATGATGACTAGTGGTAAATATTGTATGGAATGGCACTTGGTAACACTGGTACATTTGGACATTTGGTAACACTGGTAGATTTGGACATTTGGTAACACTGGTAGATTTGGACATTTGGTAACACTGGTAGATTTGGACATTTGGTAACACTGGTACATTTGGACATTTGGTAACACTGGTACATTTGGACATTTGGTAACACTGGTACATTTGGACATTGGTAACACTGGTACATTTGGTAACGCTGGTAGATTTGGACATTTGGTAACACTGGTACATTTGGACATTTGGTAACACTGGTACATTTGGACATTTGGTAACACTGGTAGATTTGGACATCACTGGTAGTGGACATTTGGTAACACTGGTACATTTGGACATTTGGTAACACTGGTACATTTGGACATTTGGTAACACTGGTACATTTGGACATTTGGTAACACTGGTACATTTGGTAACACTGGTACATTTGGACATAACACTGGTAGATTTGGACATTTGGTAACACTGGTACATTTGGACATTTGGTAACACTGGTACATTTGGACATTTGGTAACACTGGTACATTTGGACATTTGGTAACACTGGTACATTTGGACATTTGGTAACACTGGTACATTTGGACATTTGGTAACACTGGTACATTT